TGAGACTCCAACTCAAAAAAAAAAAGAACCCGAATTGATTCCTGGGTCCCACGCCAGATCCGCTGAGCCTGAACATCTAGCAATGAGACCCAGGAACTAAATTTGTAAGACGATTTGGGTGAATGATTCCGATCACCTGTGGGAACTCAATACCGACTCTGTTCTGTCCTTCTCCAGATGCAGGTGTGGGACACAGCTGGCCAGGAGCGTTTCCGCACCATCACCCAAAGCTACTACCGCAGCGCCCATGCAGCCATCATCGCCTATGACCTCACCCGGCGGTCCACGTTTGAGTCCATCCCACACTGGATTCACGAGATAGAAAAATATGGAGCAGCGAACTTGGTCATGATGCTAATCGGTAGGGCATTTTCCAAGTATTTAACTTTTCTGCACTCCCCTCTGCAGATGAGACATATTCATATGCAAATATGCTCTCTGCGTGTTTTCCATGCCAGTAGAACATGAAACCTTGAATGTACTGGCGGTGGATGGGACCTCAGAATGTATCTTGCCCAGAAATTCCCATCAGAACCACTTGAAAATGAAAGTGGGATGCTGGGAACTTGTTAAAAATACAGATTTTGCCGGGCTTGGTGGCTCACACCTATAATCCCAGCACTCTGGGAGGCCAAGGTAAGAGGATTGCCTGGGTAACTTAGCAAAACCTCATCTCTACAATAAATGAAAAAATTAGCCAGGCATGGTGGCGCGTGCCTGTAGTTCCAGCTACTTAGAAGGCTGAGGCAGAAGGATCGCCTGAACCGAACAGGTTGAGGCTGCCGTAGCCGTGAGCATGCCACTGCCCTCCAGCCTTGGCAACAGAGCGAGACTCTAACTAAAAAAAATGAAAATAAAAATTCAGATTTCAGGCCAGGTGCGGTTGTTAAAACCTGTAATCCTAGCATTTTGGGAGGCCAAGGCGAGAGGATTGCCTGAGTCCAGGGGTTTGTGACCAGCCTGGTCAACTTGGTGAGACCTTGTCTCTACAATAAATCAAAAAATTAGCCGGGCATGGTAGCATGTGCCTGTAGTTCCAGCTACTTGGAAGGCTGAGGTACAGAGGCTGCAGTGGCCGTGGGTCTGCCACTGCACTCCAGTCTGGATGACAGAGTGAAACTCCAACTCAAAAAAAAAAGAAGTATAGATTTCAAGGCACACCCTCTAGAGATTCTCATTCAGGAGATCTGGCCCAGGTAGCTCTATGAAGGGCATCCCAGCTGTGTAGACCGACCACACAGCAAGTACTGTTGCAATCTGAAGTTAACAGGTGTCTCCAGCATCCCAGGGAGCCACTCGGATGGATATCACTGGTTAACCTTTTGAATAACTACTTATGACTTTTAAGATCCTAAGCAAATCTTAACAAACCAACATCAAATTTAACAGAAACTTCAACCATCAAAAGTAAATGCACAGCTTAGAATGTGTGCAATCCTGCTGTACATTCAGAAAAGCAAAATGTTTCTATCACTTCTCTATAGCTTCTCTTTTGCATGCAGGGCTGGCTTTTCCTCCCTCCTGAGTATATTACCATTTACCAAGTGGCTGCTTCATTTTTTTTTTTTTTTTTTTAGTTGGAGTCTCACTGTTGCCCAGGCTGGAGTGCAGTGGCAAATTCATGGCCACTGCAGCCTCGACCTGCTGGACTCAGGTGATTCTTCCACCTCAGCCTCTCAAGTAGCTGGAACCACAGATGCCACCACCACACCCAGCTAATTTTTGATTTATTGTAGAGACGAGGTCTCTCCAAGTTGCCCAGACTGGTCTCGAACCCCTGGGCTCAGGCAATCCTCTCGCCTCCGCCTCCCAAAGTGTTGGGATTACAGGCGTGAGCCACTGTGCCTGGCTGTGGCTGCTTCATTTTAGCAAGTTGGTTTAGGGCTCTTGCCACTCAAAGTCTGGTCCGTGGACCAGCTGCATCAGCATCACTCTGGAGTTTGTTCCAAGTACAAGACCTCAGGCCCAGCCTGCTGAATCAGAATCTTCATGTTAACAGAATACTCAAGTGATTCATATAAGAATGAAAGTGTGCAAAGCAGGGGTCTAGACAGCCATGGAACTGAGAAGAGGGCTTAATATTCCCTGCCTAATGGGTAATGTAGGCTTTGGCAAGCATATCCTAGCTCTGTGACAAGTTATCTTGAAGCTTGGTTTCCTCACCTGTAAAATGGGACTAAGTGGGGGTTGTGGTAAATATTTTTTTTTTTTGAGTCGGAGTCTCACTCTGTCGCCCAGACTGGAGTGCAGTGGC